AAATATCATGTATTCCAAAAAAATGAAAACGACATACATATTAAAATCGAACATGGTTTTTTTCTCCACTCACCGTTACCAATCTGGATGAGGGATGCACTAAAGGAGTCCGGATGCTGCATAAACTCGTACTTGTAGCCCGAAACGTTGCTTTCGAAGGCGAAATCCTTTCGAGTGGAAATGATCAAGAGCTGCCCAAGAAGATTCACTGCGAGAGGACCTCCGATCAACAGCTGTTCCCAGGGAGCATCCATGTCAGCCTTATAGGCAGTTTCATCGTCGATAAATGTGACGCTTACATCTATTAGAGAGAGAAAAAAAGATCGGAGTGCTCATGAAATGTATGACAGGTTCAATAACACCAATACGTACTCATCGACTTTGTTTTTACTGCGCGGCGAGTTCGATAAGAAACTGACCGACTCGAATTTATCACGTCCCAGCTCGTTTCTGTACTATCAAGCAACACATCAGCGAAAGGATTCAACTTCGGATCATCCGACATGAACATTTCGATTGTTAGAGGAGACAACGTTGGGTAAGAGAGGCCGTCCATGGTTGCTTTTGGTGCATCTGCCATACTGAGTCCTCGTCCGAGAGTAGGAGTTAGATGGTGTGCTGCTGCGAAGAACAGCAAGTACAGGAGATGATCTACCCAACAAACATAATTTAGTAACTATGTTCTTAAAAGAAGTTTCATTCATTACTCACTCATGAAATCTTGTGTTAGAGTCTTTGTAGTAGATCTGAAATATTATGATAAGAGAAAAGATTTAAGATACCGGAGAGCAAAATTATGAATTCAAACAAAACTCTGTCAGTTGAGTTATCCCTCGTACTTTTGTCATGTGAGCTACAAGAAAAGTTAAACCGTTATACAAAGCTTATTAGAAATGGTCTTTTCATCAAACTCTCAGACACTAAATCCAGAGATATTGAACACTGTTTATGGCATTTTTGTCTGCTGGTGCTAGAAATGTTCGAAGAGCTCGTCATAACGCTCTTTGAGTTGACGCAGACGCTGCTTTGCGGTCATTGCTTGAACAGTTCATTGTTCGTTAAAGCAATGACGTCGGTGACGACGTGCTCTGGACAGTTGTATACGATAAAGAAGTTGCTGTCGTCGTTGTAGCCGTGCCCAATGAAGATGTGATTGAAGAGTGATCGTCCGACGGAGGCGAACGTGAAAAAACTGAAGCATTAACGTCACTGACCACCTGCTCTATGGCAACTGGGTGAACTAAAGGAGTTGCTGTCGTCGTTGTAACCCTTTCGAATGAAGTTATGATCGAAGAATGATTGTCTGGCTGAGGCGATGCTGAAGAAACCGAAGGTATAGATGATGCCCCAAACGTCTGCAACGTTAACTCTTGCACAATGATAGCTGAAGTCACGGGTATTGTTTCAAGTACAGCCACTGGTGTTGCAGACGCTTTCGGATGACCTGATGTATTCGTATAGAGAGATGCATAGTAGCTTTGAATATGATTACACTAGGCTAATACTCACCACCACTGGGGTCTACTGTGGAAATTTTATCGATTGGTACCACGGAAGTAAGTAAATCTACGCCTAAAGCTAAGAAAATAATGTGTGTCATATTTAAAGATAGCCAGAAATCCGAGGAGAAGTTGTACTAGCAGCCTTGTCACTTACTAGAAGACAAACTAGTTATTGTTATTCCCGAAACTACTGTAGTGTCTGGTTCTCTTGGCTTCTCTGATTCAAACACCAGTTTCGGATGAAGTGTCGACGTTGTCAGGTTCCACACAGACTTATTGTAATCACGAAAGTTATCCAATTCAGTGAAACCTTGAACATCCAAGTACTCTCCGCAGGTGTCTTTCTCTACAGTGTTCCTGTAGAAGGCTTTCGTTTCGACGCACGTGCCCTTGCCCACCAGACCGCCAATGCCGAGAGAACTCAGCTGCCCTTGGCCTTTAACTGCAGCGTAGCTGAAACTCGTTTTCAGAACGAACTTCGAGTTCGAACCACCTGTGGTTCCGCCAGTGAGACCACCAACGTACCGATAACCGCTCACACTTCCGGCGGAGTAGCTGTTTTCGATGACAAAATCAGCAGCAGTGTGTTTTCCGCCGGGCTGCCCGCCGACGAGACCACCGGTCAGGTAAACGCGACCTCCATCCACTTCCGCTTGTGAGAAACATTCGCTAAGCGTAGCGCTAGTGGTAACACCTCCGACCAGGCCTCCGCAGGCCCAAGCAGCATTCAGTATAGCATCACCTGTGCAGGTGACCTGACTACCCTTGAGAACGCCGACTCTGTGGAAGAGCGTACTCACAGCACTACCCACTAAACATCCGATCCGAGAGTTGCCGGACGTGATCTGACAGTTCTCCATACGAATATTCCGAATGTTAGCGTTAGTTGCTGTCCGAATGAGGCCGGCGGCGGATTTCTTCGATGAAGTAAGAACGTCGAGCTCATCGCCAAGATACAGAAAGTTCAAAACTGCGAAGCCTCTGCCGTCAAGATGGCCGCTAAATTCGGGAATCATGTGAAAGCTAGTGTTTAACAGATCGATGTCAGCTGTTAGATGGAAATATCCAGAAGGATTGTTTCGGATCGCGTCGAACTCGGCAAATGAAGCGATGGGTACACTCGGTGGCGGAGTCACAGTGGTGATTGCTACAGTTGTAGTTGTTTCTGATTTGCTACAAAATAAATTGAAGTAATAATCTCAGACATTGTTTATGCTTACAGTAAAACTTTTCTAAAGTCACCATCGTTCCCAAAATGATCAGTTCGGAATTCTGCTGAATAATGCTCAATGATGGATATCTCTACTACCCTCTCACGCCAGTAGAGCCCATCGGGTCCATGATTTTTGGACCCCGACCCGATGATAAAAATTTATTCAAACCCGGACCGGGCCCGGACCCGGTTGGTTAAATTTTTTTGGACCCGGACCCGCTCAAACAAAATTCTCGGATCCGAACCCAATAATTAATTCTTTGTGATTCTATAATGCAAAATTCTAGTTCGGATTTGATAATCGATCGAAATATAGGATATCCTTTTTTTTCATTTTTTATGTTCGACAAGTAACATATTCTACATATTCTTCAAGTCATCCGATAGCGATTCTTAATCAAATTCGTTCGTATTAGTTTCTGTCGAAGAATACAAATGTATTTAAAAAAGTTTCATTATTTCTTTTGTATAACAACTATTTTATATTATAGTAGTCGTTCTCTTTGCTTTACTGAATAAAATATGTATACAACAATCTAAAAAAAGCTCATGAGTTTATTGCCATCATCAAAACATTTTTTGAATAAAAAGAACAGAAATAAACGAAAATAAAAAATAATGAAATTATTTTTTATAGTGGATTTTTTTCTGGCTAATAAAAATTTATAGATCCGGGCCCGTTGAATTCAAAATCTTCGGTCCCGATGAATTCAGAATTTTCAGACCGCGACCCGGCCGGATCCGGGTCGGATCCGATGGGCTCTACACGCCAGACACATGACGGCAATGAATAGTCGCATGTTTACTCGCGCTACTGACCGTTCTGTGATAGGGAAAGTCCGTTTTAACTTACAAGACTCACTTTCGCGTTGCACCCTAGTAGTGTAGTGAAATGCCCACCATCGTAGGCACATCAATAGGTCCAGTCAAAGAAAAGTCGCTCAGTTTGAGTTTGAATTACGCATTATGGAGAGATACTTACGCATTATAGAGTAATTATAATATACGAATTACGCATTATAGAGAGATACGTATAAGTAAGGTTTGATCAAGTCCTATCATTATACTGAAAAAGTCTACTTGTCACATGTTACTTACATTGTTGCGGTGGTAGAGGTGGTAGTTGCATTACTATCTTCTCTAATTACCAGATCAGTTGAGTTTTCCACTGTAATAATATTTCCAGCTGCTGCAGTCACTTTCCCGCCATCTTCTTCAGTCACAGCCGTTAACTCTATGATGGACAGACAGATAATATTAAGTTTATCAGTCTCCACAATCTTACCGGTTGTATTGATAGATTGGTCAAGCTCTTCCGGATATGGATTGACAAACTCTTCAAGTAAACAATGAGTGTTTCCGATCGTATTCATTGGTATCCGTGGTAGGATCTCCATGATATTTTCCATGCTCAGCTGTATTTGCTGTAAAACAGTCTTGTTGACCATTCCACCTTCTAGCTCCTTCGTTATGTTGTTATTTAACATGGCCTGGTACACATCGTTCAGTGGCTCAAGCCACGGCTCAAACTCGAGAACTACTGTTAGATTGTTGCCAAGAATAGAAGTAGGAGTGTAGACAGAGCCAAGGTGGTGAGCCACGTCTTTCATCAGTTTACTGATGATGATTGTGAAGTTCCCCTGCTGCTCGACGTCGGTCAATGTCAAGCTCATAGTGTCGAGTTCTGCGGCATACTGCGTCAGCTGTCGATCGAGCGCGACTTTGTCATTCTGTTGAGTCAGCAATTCATTCCGATACTTCTCGCGACGAGCCTCGAACTCTTCCAGCTCTCTACATCGTGATCCCTTCGCCTCCTCCTCCTGTACGGCCTTCTCAGCCACAGCGGCTTGTTCCTGCTTCTGGACGAGTTGTATTTGTGTTACGTTTTCCTTTTCCTTTAGATCTTGAATTTCTTCTCGCTGTCGTGCGACGGCCATTACAATATCAAGTACACTTTGAGCAGCTTCATCGACAATGTCGTGACTAATGTTAACGGCGCGTTCAAGCGCCTGTGACATTTGTAGAGCAGCACAGACAGTACGATTGTAGAAGAGAACGACAGCTGTGGTGTTCTTTCCGAGTTTACTGGTATCGACATTGATTAATGGTTGGAGAATATCTTTCTGAAGAGTAGCATAGGCCGAGTGGTAGAGTGGAACGACGCGAGTTGACATTTCTTTGCGAAAGCGTTCTGCATCGTGAGACAGTACGAACGTAGTGATAAGGAAAGAGGAAAGGATCAGCAAGAGAAGTGGAAGTTGCGTAGCAACCATAGTCATTCTAAAGGGGAAAAAAATCTATTAGCTACTTCCGCTATTCACAATTATTATTGTACATATTGAAATGTAATGGCTACTTCCTCGAAAAGTCTGCTTCGAGGTTTGATAAACGATCGCAACAGCAGTTTGAAGAAGAGAGTGAACATACTCAATCTCAAACCTTTTCTTCCGTATACAGAACATTAGACCATGTTTTTTAGGTACGTCAGATATTTGCTTGAAAGTAGAGATCTACGAGACAAACTTTTTTGTGTGCTGTGTCGAAAATTTTCTAAGCTGTCCCAATTCCGTATGTGCCTTCTCGAACTTTTTTCGAATTGTTTCGTTAAATCTCGGGCATCCGGTTTGTCCCGTTGGTTATAAAAATATAAATACGTGACCCTGTCGAAGAAAACAAGACGTTTTTTTTATACCACCAATAGTGAAAAAGATATATCCATTTAAAAAAATAACTGTTCAAGATAACTACCGGGTGAACCACAATGACTGTGACATTTATTTTTTTTGTAAATATCTCAGAAGAAATCAATCTTGGTTCTTTTAGAAAAAGAATCAAAACTAGACATTTGATTTTTGCTGAGATACTTGCAAAAAATAAATATTGTCACCATTACGGCTCACTCGGTATATTGATCAGCTTTAGACAAATTTCTCAAGACTTCTTTTTTCATTATTTATTTAAATATGAACATATTTTTTAAAAATAAAAAGTGAAAATGTACACAAGTTTTCACCTAGAGATTAGAGAAATTTGGGGCACTAGTTTTTTTTCTATATTCTACCGACTCTCAATGTTCTCTCGCGAAAAGTTTTTGGGACTGTCGCGCAAGTCTCTGCTTGAAACCCTTACGTTTTTACGAAGAATGCTTTTCATTCTATTTTATAGGAAAGCATTACACCGCGTTAGTCGTTTGAATTACTCAATTCTGCAAGAGTACGAGTGTCAATGTGAATGTAGACGTAGATGGCTGAACGCCGGTGTAGATATGGATGTGAGACATATTGTACCTTCATATTCAAACCGACTACCACCCTCTCCTACTATAATCCCAAGGTCTCCTGAGGTTTCGCTCTATTTGTCCAAAGTTTTCGCAAGACTTCCTGTAGTGCTCGAATGTTGTCATGACATTCTCAAAGTTTCTTCTTATTAGTCACGGTGTTATATTGTTCTTCCAGATTCCTCTAATATTCGTAAGTTTTCAAAACCTTAGTAATCAACCATATTTCACCTGTACTGTGGAATCAACCTGAATACTCATGAGATTTTCTTTTGAGTCTGGATAGAATCCAAGATCAAGGCAGTCTCAGAATTAACAAAGGAATAACAAAGATTTTGACTAAGAAAGAGAGTGACAATATTTCTTTAGCTTGTTTGCTGCAAGATTCTCGTTAACGGTTGTCTAGTTATCTGCTAGCAGCGAAATCAGTAGTTTCGTAACGACAAAACGGGAGAATAAGATAAAGATACAAATCAACTGACCTGAATAGTAGCTTTCCAAAATACCAGTCGAGACGATGAGCAAAGGATGATATTGTTCGTCAGAATATATATTAGATGTATCTTTTTTGGTGTCCTAAAGTGTTATTTCTCTTGTATTTATTATAGCCAACGAGACATAAATATGAGGGATTTTCCCAGTTGTTACTATCGTTCTGTTGATTAGATTTGTGTTCCATAGAAATAACTATATGACAAGCATGAAAAAAATGTCAGGAAACATATTTCTTTTTATTTCTATCTTCTGGAAAGAATGAAATAGAAACCTTTAACATCATGATTTGAGTCGTTTAAAAAAAACAGTATCTAGAAAGTAGACAATGACATGTATTTCTGTCGATAGGAATTGAATCGAACACAATCGAAGTCTAATTTTTTAAATAATACATATACACCTTTATTTTTGAGCATTGAGTTAGATACATTAGAATTTAAGATAAAATGAAAACCATACCAATATGCATTCTTAGAGGAAAAAACCATTAGCTCTTCAAATGAAATAAAAAGTGGATTAAAATAACGATTTAAAAAAAGAAGGACAATAGTCCTTTTTGCTGCGAGTTGTCGTTGGATGTAACAAAAAGTAATACAAAAAAACAATAATCGAAAAGTTTATTCTTATACATTCAATTCAGTGAAATAAAATATATGGAAAGATGTCAACATCTGATTTCGTATCTTCGGTTGTAATTATTTAAAAAACTTTTGTTGAAAAAAAACAGTGTCATCAGGAATTTTGATGAAATTAATCGACAAAAACTAATCATCATATTTGGATACCGGATATCAATCTATGAAGTGAGAAACTTTATAAAACAGAATAAAACTACTATTCAGTACGCAGAGAAATGATAATAATTTTTTCTTGTCTTCATTTTTGTATACGTTTTTGTGTGACCTAATCGAAAGTCTTTGAACTTTTAACCATCTAAATAAATCGGAATTTGTCTTTAGCACAAAAGATTCGGAGAAAACGATTTGTTTTTACAAACAGTTATTGAATAGGTTTGACCTCTTGAAGCCAGTTCTAGTCTTTCACTTCCTGTCCAAATACTCTACAATACGACATTTTTGGGTCAAAATCCAAGTTTTTCTCGCACGAAAGAGGCTATTTTTAATGTTTAGTATTTTGTCGATAAGGAACATTTTTTCTCACTGTAAGGCTTACAACAGTCTCATGGCAAACATTTGATGAATTACGGTTCTGTACTGTACGTTTGGTTACAATGTCAATAATATGTGCATGTAAACCAAATTTACAACCATATGCGTAAGAAAACAAACGTTTTGTATAGGGATTAATATGATTATTATATTATGTAAAAATTATCAAATTTAGTAAATTTCCGAAATAAAATATGATGAACCCAAAAGGCACGTTAAGGATTCACAATATAATATTTTATTTTATTTTATTTTATACAGTATTTATTATTTACAATATTCAACAAAAATAAACTGTTTATTATCAACACTAACTGTTTTTATTAGATACATAAAATAAAACAGATATTTTCACATAAAGGAGACATATGAAGTAAATCGTTATGTAAAATTACACACATTTGTGAGAATACAAATAATTTGGTTTTTATTTTGGTTTACCTTTTGCTGTTTATTTCGGGTAATTATCCTTATACTTTTCTATACCACTCCCTTCATGCGATATGTTACATTCATTTCTATAACTGTTATAAGCAACAGAATAGCACTTTGTACATAAAAAATAATTAATATTGAAAAGAAAGAAATAAGTTTTCTTTTCATGTCGACTTATTCTGCCAGAAGGAAGAGAAAGATAATGTTATTAAATTCAGATGCCGTACAAAAATGCTAAATTACCATTTCGAATGAACTGTCCATATAATTTATGTATAACTTAAAATTTGTGCTGAGTAATTCCAACAGAAATCGATCAGCATTACATCGATTTCCTCCGCAAAAATGAAGATCTATCTGTCGTGTATAAAATGCTCGAAACCTAGTGAAACGACCCTACTGCGTTGTTTATATGCTATGTAATAACAGGATTAAATAAACAAATTCTGAGAGAACAGAAAATTAACTGTTTTATTAATAATATTTATATCGAATGTTCTGGTAACTAATGTGTCAGCTATGCTTAGGATGTACTTAAGAATCCATGCACCTTTTCATTCGATCAAATATATAAACTAAGTTTAGGAAAACTTTGGTTATAGATCAAGCACTTTGCCCAGGAGAAACTTACTTTTTTTCAAGCATTTATATTATTTTCTGTCTAGCAAACGTTCAAAATTTAATTTAATTTGATTATACATGAAAAGCTTGCACCCAGTGACGATTGGTAGCCTTCAAGACGGATGAACTATGTGTAATCGATCACGCTGCGTCTCGTGGCAATATTTGTTTCTAAAAAGTTTTAAAATTCTACCGAAAAGCGAGTTTTACGAAAGTTTGTATTTTCAGGCTGTTTACACCTAATATTAAGAAATTCGCTAATCACTCAGTAAACATCAGAACGACTTCAAGATTTCAGAATGTGGAGTATTTAAGCTATTCTTTATCCTGTTTATAGGAAATCTAAAAAGAAATCTCACAAAACCTTACGGTTTTACAAAAGATTTTCTGTAAAACCGAGCTCCAAAACTATGCCTTTTCTAATTTTTGGATTGTACGATCAGGTTTAGCGGAGGAAATTAACCATATCCTGAAAATTTTGAAGTCGTTCTGATGTTTACTGAGTGATTAGCGAATTTTTTAATAT